TATTTTATATTTATATTTATAAATTTATAATTTTATAATTCCATTTTTTTTAAAGTTCACACTGCAAAACATACCTAAGGTCCTGCACGCTCTCACCAAGCTTGTCCAGGAGAAATTTGATATCTTCACTTATGTCTTCATCATCATATTTCTGCTGATCCAAGTTCTCTAGTTGCTTTAGAACTTTACACTGAATCATGGCAAGAGCATATTCCTGGCGAGTTTCTCTCTCAGTAGATTTCTCTAACAAATTCTGTGGAAGTAAAGATTTATCTATTTTGTTTGTTTTAAGAACAGATTGCTTTTATACAAAGTACTACATTCAGGAAATTTTTATTTACACTTTTTAATTTACTAAGTGACAGAATTGACTACTTCCTGAAATAATCTCTCTGAAGAAATATGAATCTACTAGACAGCAGCTGCTCTACACTTGTATTCAGTAGCATAAATTGCCTAAGACTTAGACTTTTCTCCTTCTAGATGGTAGGCTACCTTCAAGACTAATTCACCTGATCTTTTCTACAAAGATCACTCAAAGAAAAAGGGTAGGTTTATATCCCAAATCCCAGATACTCTACCATAAACAACTACTGTTAACTGGGATTATCATTTTAGCTTTCTGTGCAGCAATAGGATAAAACAAGAAAGCCTTAAAAAAAAAACAACCAACAAACAAACAAAAACCCCACACTGCACAACCGAAAAACAACTTGAAGTTGTCTCCTTCCAATGCAAGAGTTACCATCTGGATTAGATCAGCTTCTTTTGAATTTGGGAATATTCCAACTAGATATTTTTATTGAAACATAAACTTGTTGATAAAACAGGAATTACGAGTACAGAATATAATAGTCAAGTTCCAACGTCACTTATTCATTACACTTCTACTCAATCAGTTTCAAATTATCTTGTTCAATCAGAGCTAGTCACCTGCACTTTTTGATAAAGCTGAAAACTTGAATTCCACACAGAATGCAAAGTCCTTAACAGAACATGCATTCATATAAATAAGCTTTAGCATCTACCAGAGACAAACAATGAAAAAATATAGAAGCAATACGATTGCATAGTAAGTCATATTAGTGTTTTTATTGGCCACATACAATTAGTTTTAATGAGAAAAAAAAAAAAAACAAGCACCCTGTTTCTATTTCAGTAAGAGAATTGAGTAGTAAGAGGTAATTTACAGAAAGTAATGCTAATTTTCTTGGAGTTACAAGTACTAACGAGAGCAAAAGAATAAATAATTAAGCTTAAAAAACAAAATCCAACAAGTTCAAGGAGCAAGTAGGTTAAGCTTCCAAAAAACACCTAGTCAAGAGAACTACAGGCAGATGTAGGCATATATAGGAAGTCATCCCAAATATTATTACCTATTTCATAGCAGAGTGAGATATTCAAAGCTTTTGTAGTAAAACTGAAAGGATCTTTTAGGAAAGTACAAACAGGAGCACATGACTAAGTAGAACGAATGAGTAAACTACTCGGTGATAACAAGATCTTAAGATATAACATGAGTTACAGGTAGGAAACAGATATAAAAAGACAAAGTATTAAAAGCTATGAAAAAAAATTTTAATAGGTAGAAAAAGTAATTTATTCAAAATAGACATCAGTACTTAACACCTGTTGCTTTACAGAAAAAAAAAAATTAGATTACAACTACATACTTCAGGCAATGAACTTGCCAAAGAGGTGAAATAGATTATTTATTATTACAAATTATGTAGGGTATGCAAGTTGTGAGGACTCACACTTTCAGTAATGCACAGAAGTAGGGATGACTTGGGGAAGCATCAGGCCTAGTCCTTTATCCAATTAGTCTATTTCTTTTCCATAAACTGATACTCCGGCCTCTCACACAAGTAAAGGGCTATTTAATGCCTCTGCTACTTGTTTTTATTTTGCTTCAGAACTCACAGCTCTTACATCTAATTTCCAATCTATTATTTCCTTGCTGTCAGTTTATAACCTCATTTTCATGGCAACACTCATCTTTGATGTTCTAGAAGGAAAACAGCTAGAATTTTCCCAAAGCCTGTAACAGAATCATCTTATTCTTTCTAAACCTTTATTTATTAAATTAACTTGGCTTCATTTTTGTCTCCTCTTGCAAAATACGCTAAATCTAAAAGCTAGAAAATATTTCTCCTACTTTTTATGACCTCAGAATTGGAAGAAGTTGAGTATAAACTGCTGAGCCCTCCAACTTTTTTTTCCTCAAAGCTGTCTTGCTGTATGTCCCTGTTTAATCCTAGCATTAAGATCCTAAAGAACACTAGAACACCTAGAGATCTACATATTAAGAACAATCCCTACTAGGTGTCTTGTTCCACTGACCTCCTCCAGCAGGATAAATAGCATCTTTTTATCACCCATCTTATCTACAAATTTTTCAAAGTAGTAGATGCTTCTGCATAGAGAGAGCATTTAAATTACAGAGTAAGTGCTTTCATACAGCTTGTTACTGCTGATCAGCAAGTCAGTAAGCAACAATGTCCCTCTTCCCATCCTTTTTTGCTTGCAACACCTCCTACTGGAACATAATCAGCACCCAGGAAAACAAATCGTTTCTAAGATCTACATCACAGAATCACAGAATGTCAGGAGTTGGAAGGGAACTCAAAAGATCATCTAGTCCAGCCCCCCTGCCAGAGCAGGATCACCTACAGTAGGTCACACAGGAACGCGTCCAGGTGGGTTCTGAATGTCTCAGAGAAGGAGACTCCACAACCTCCCTGGGCAGCCTGTGCCAGGGCTCTGTCACCCTCACAGTGAAAAAGATTTTCCTAATATTTTTGTGGAACCTCCTATGTTCCAGCTTGTATCCATTCCCCTTGTCCTGTCATTAGACATCACTGAGAAGATCCTGGCTCCGTCCTCCTGACACTCCTCCTTGACATATTTATAAACATTTATGAGGTCACCCCTCAGCCTCCTCTTCTCCAAGCTAAAGAGACCCAGCTCCTTCAGCCTTTCCTCAAAAGGGAGATGTTCCACTCCCTTCAACATATTTCTGGCTCTGCACTGGACTCTCTCAAGCAGTTCCCTGTCTCAAGATATGTAATTCTGTTTTAAAACAGGATTACAAGTTGTTACAGCACTCCTGTATCATGTGCAAGATGAGCATGCACATACAGCTGTGTCCACATGCACAGTTAATACCCACGAGCACAAACTGGTGCTCTCACAATGCAAACATCATGTCTCAGTGTTCAGTTCTTCCAAACTATCTTAAATAGGGCCAGAGACTTTCAGGTGACACAGACACAGTAAGTCAATTAATAACTCTGACACATTACCTCTTTCACCTCGACAGAGTCACCAAAAAAACCATTTTGGACTAGCAAATAAAAATAATTTTCAAGTCATTCAGCAGGGCAGATACATGTTTAAAATAATATTTTTTAATCAAAGCTTCGTAAAGCAAAATTAATCAGGTATTAGTAACTCCATTGTTTTACACTAGTACTAGAAAAACGAATCTTCAACTAAAGAAGGGAAATTATGAGTGCCCATGTTAATATAGGGGGTTTTTTTAGTTAACTTTATTTTAAGAAGACATTGAACAGCAGATACCTACTACCTGTAGCAAAATTTAGCTCTTAAAAAAAAAAAAAAAAAGAGGGAGAATTAAGCTTTAAATCCAAGATACTGATAAGGTCTAGTAGAAACAACTGTGCATAGGCAACATCTGACACCTACTCATTTAAGAGGGAAGCACAGTGCAATTCAAATCAACTGACACTTACCCGAAATGCTGCAAGGATGATTCTAGTTACTTTCTCTTTTACAGATTCCTGAAGGATATCTGAGAGCACCGGAACAATATTGTACCGACGGAGATATTCACACATTTGAGGGCTAAAGGCCAGCAGCCACACACAGAAAATCATCTGATACTGGAGCTGGAAGCCACATTTGTTGCTCAAAACCCCCATGATACTGAAAAATTAACACAGGATAAATTTGATTTTTAAATAATGACTGCATAGGTTGTACTGCTCCACTCTGAAACACTAAAAAAAAAAATGGTTAACAGGAACTTATTGGAAAGAGCTGCTAAGGCTGAGTACACAATGCATGCTTCACAGTATCTTGCATGAGTATTTATCATTGTACAAGCAGCTTGTTCCAAAAGCAATCTTTTAAGAAGACTGTTATTTCCTCCTTAGCCTTACAGCTATAAAGCAGCTTTTCCTATGTGAACAGATGCAGCACTGCATCCATCATTAGGTTCACCAAAGTCTTTTTCTAGTGTCATGTTTAGAGCATGATTTGTCAGTCTAGGAGAAACAGAGAAACACAGAGCTACAGCTTCAGAATTAAGGAGGAGGAGGAGTAAACGCAGAGAACAAAATCTACACATGCTAAACTTGTTTCCTTAATTGTACGTCTCCACAGAAGTGCCCAAAATGAGCTGAAGTAGTCATTATTAAACAAGCGAGCTCTCAGAAAATAGCTTATAGATATAACACATTGCCAGTATACAAGTACCACTAGAGAAGAAATAATATCAAAAAACATCTACGAAATCATGCAGAAGCTTTGTTCAGTTGAAGTTTTGAATATTTAATACACAATTTACAAGCTTAAAAAAGCTAACTCATTTAAAAAAAACAAAGAAACCCAAAACAAACTACTTCCAAGATCATTGCCCTCAAAATTAATACAAATTCAAACTTATTGCAACACAGCCTTATTGTAATGCTTTATTAGTTTATTAAAGAGCTTCCTTGGTGAAGAAGTTCAATAGCTTGATCCTGATACACCCAGACATCTTTTGAACTCTCACTTCACTGTCACCTTTGACTTTTCTCCATTTCAGAGTACAAGGGTATTTTTCTTAAAGTGCAAATTTTATAGCCACCATTTCCAATAGAGGCATGCATGGCAGAAAGTTATTTATAGACAAGACATTTTTTAATTGAGTAACATCTCAGCCTCATGTAGAGTTATTTATGAAGAGTACCTGGATAAAAGAATGACCTCCTTGAATACACATGTGAAAAAAATTGAGCTTAGCTATAGAACATGTTTCTCCTTTCACTAGTGTATTCAGACTGAACAACTCAAAACTGTAAGACAAGGAAGATTAGCAGAAACTCATTTTGTTAGCACTTCTTCTAGTAAATGAAAACCAGAGCATCTTCAAATAGAGACAAATGGTGGTATTCCCCTGTAGATATTTAAGCTGTTCTTCGTGAAGAGTAAGTAGTATTAAAGCCTCAACATTAGTACCTATATCTTCAAAGTTCAGTCTGTCTGACTGTATTAATGTTTGAAAACGTATTAATGTTTGAAATGTTTTGTATTCAAACAGAGCAGCTATCTTTTGAAAGAGAGTTCTAGTCCCAAAGAGGTCATTGGGGAATGTGCTATTGTAAGCACATGTATATCCATATCAATTGAAATGACTGCTCACCAATTTACTCCATCTGCTTCTACCCAGGCGAAACGATATTCATTGACCCGAAGCATCAGCTGCAGACACCCAGCAACACATTGTACGTACTGGGAACTCTGGGGGAAAAGAAGAACACATCACTTATACAAGAGGTAGTTCGTAAGTGCTGAAGTTCATTTTTCCAAACTAGGCTTTACTGGCCTACTTCAACACATATGCCTTCAGCAACACTTTTGAGCTCAACAGGCTCACCCTTACAGTGCTTTACATCTCTCTATCAAAACAAAACAAACAAAAAAAAACCCAAACACACATAAAAAACTCAAAAAACAAGGTGGGAAGCAAAATATAAATGGAGAAGAGTTTTGAACAGAAAAGAAGTGTTGTGCAAGTGATACCGTTTCACATTACCATAACAGATTTTTATAGCCCATTTGAACATGCCTTCTTTCAGCACATGTGAATAAAGGTTGTCTTTGGTTTGATTACACTGCCAGAGCCCTTTCACCCACAGAATCAAGAGGTATTCTATTGAGCAAGCTTTAGGATATAAAAAAACCTGGTTACTAAACTTGAACAAGTTTGCTAGAGGTCATTGTAAAAAAAGGATTCTTGGGCTCAGGTCCTCTCACTCGCATTCTCCAACTCAGAACAGCAGCGTTGTCATTACAATTCTATATTTTCCTAAGCATGTGTCAAACAGTAAGCACCATGTTTATCATACTGAAATGTATATTTATGCCAAAAAAATATACCAATAGAAAAATGAGTATACAAAATCATCCTCAAAGTTTAGCTTTGCATTTTAGTGTTTTCTTCTTTCATTAAGAGCTTAGCACAGTGCACTATAATATGAAAAGAATAAGACTAAAACTTTCCCATCAGGAAAACATCGAGAGATGCACCGTTGAATTTTATTTTCATTCAGACTCCTATATGAGCAGTTAAAGACAGAATCATTAAAAGGCTTTTAATCTCTGAAACCATTTATTTTATGTGCCACTGCTCAGAAGATGGGATGGGCTTTAGTCAACCTACTGTCCCTCCCGCTACAGCAACAGAAAGATCTCAAGGTACCACAGAAGTGGTTTCGGGTTTCCTTGTTTTTAACTCTCTCTCTTTTGCTCATCTTCTGGAATTACCTTCACTAATACTCAACACGTTTCTGATAAAACTGATTGTTGCTGTTTGTTTATGAAGTTGTGGATTTTTTCCTATAAGCCTTTTTCTTTACTAATTGTCTTGAAACTCTTATGATAGATCACTCACATAATACAACATCAAAGCTTTCAAATATTTAACAGAGGAAAGAAATCAGGCAATCCCATATGAAGAGAAAAAGAGAAGAGACAACAGATAGAATTTAAAATAAAGATTATTTTTTTCTGTGTCTCTCATCAGAGATTAAGACCTTTATGTAAAAACTAAGTCTGAACATACAGGTCCAAATCATCATACAAAGCATTCATTTTCCTGGGCAGGTATTCCGTCTCACAGACCATGCAAATAAAACAGCTATACACACATAGACAGCCCTCCCACCCCAAATAACATATTAACTTGTCACCAACCAACGTACTACTGAACTTGGCATCTTTTTTTTAAAAAAAAAAAAAAAAAAAAAGAAGAGTCTGTCATAAAAGCATTCTCTTCCAACACTATTATAATTGAAATTTCCTAATAGATCCCAGTCCTTATTTCCTGTTTACAATGCTGCAACTGCATCTCTAATTTATTTTGAAATATATTAGTTAGGGCCTGTTTGGAAATCCTGCATAATCTAGATCTGTAACAGGAACACTAATGAAGTCAAGACAAGACTTAGCCAACTTAATTACCCTAGAACATATCTGCACTACCAGTTCTGCCCCTTTGGGACCCTACAGTGGTACAGTACATCCATGCAGTGCTACAATACAACAAATATAGACTTTTAAGCAAGTGAAAAAAGCTCACAGCTCCATACCAAGTGGTGGCGTGTGCTCTTTACTCTTTTAAAGCTGTATGGCCAAGTGCTGTCTGCTGCATGAAACGTAGCAGTACGACACACAGACTCGCACATGAAATACTGAAACACTTACATTTCTGTGCTCAGGCTGTAATTTTACCCCCTATTCATGGTCATGTGTAAGAGTCTTCCATCTTCTCTATTTTAAACCCTAGTCAGGTGTTAATTTAAGAGGCTTTTGTCTTCAGGAAGCCAACACTTTGAAGTGATGACTACATTTAGAAGAAAAACTAATCCAGGGTTCATACTTAAGCCTGCCGAAAAACTGTGAACACTCTCAGACTGCAAAAGGAACAAAAGACCAAACTGAATTCTACTCCACTTTCCAAAGCTATGATAAACTGTCTCACTGTGCCACAAAAAACCAGAAAACTTCAGTTATGATGGTCACCTGGATTTGCTATACTGCCACAGGTCCTCTCTAAGCTCAAACATTATACATACGGGAAATTCAGTATAAATAAATACTGACGTGAAAAGGACAATCCATTTTCACCTGAATTCAAGCTATTCAAATATGAAAAGCTTACAGCTTTGGAAGCACTCTCGTAATTTCAGGCTATAGAGGTTAAGAGGCAATGTTAGCTTTAATATTTCACTTGCCCTTTCTAAGTTCTGCACATTACAAAAGCATAAAGCCTCAGGCACCTTCTACAAAATCAACAGCTTGCTGCTGAATAGACAGTATTGTTCAAATATTAAATTAATTGCATTTTTTTTTCAAGTTTTAACAAAGAGAATGCTAGATACATCTACAGTTTCAACAAGCCAAACAAACTTGTAAAATACATACTTCCACAGCTTGCATTTTCTGTGAAATCAGTATTTTAAAAATACTTTTGTTTCTTGGCGCCATCACCTGGCACTCTCATGTCACACAGTTCTGATTCCAAGTACCTTCTACTACTGACACCAGAACAGCTCTGCATCTTAATCCAAGGAGGGGATATCACCTGCCCAAAATAGCAAATTGTCAGGTTTCAAAGATATACTTACATCACTTGTGGAGACTGCTCCTGCATCCACAGAACTGCCCGTACCACGTAGTTTCTGAAAAGAAAAAAAAAAAAAGTTTTTACATCAGAGCTCTCCTTCACCCTTTCAGCACAGTTGTTACAAAGTTTCTTTCAATTCTCCAATCTCTCTAGTCATAAAATTAAAAGATTAAGAATGTATTAGATACTTTTCCTACTCAATATATTATGATAATATATTGTATTTATTTAACACATATGTCTAGAACAATATGCTTGGAGCTGATCCCGGTATATCAAGATTTAATTTTTACTTATTTATGTTTGGATTTACTCAAGACTTTTATCCGTCTCCATTTTAGAATTTGAAAACTTGTCTTGAATCTTCCTGAAGGAAATTACAAGATACTTCTTCCAGAGGGAAAAAAAAATAGAACTCCTTTTTAATAAACTCAGTTTGGGAAGCTATGAAAAATATACTGTTACTAATGCTACCGAATGTTCCTCTGCTGTCCAGAATCCACACCTAATACAACGCTATCTTAGAGAATGACAAATCACTGGGTTTTGATAAGAATTGACAGGAAATTTTCCAAATATGAATAAAAGGGAGAACAATTCATCTTTGAAGGATGAGCCAGCCATACTGAGCTAATGCCATAAAAATACTGTCCAAGTCAGGATTTATTTAGTTTCAAGACACAGGACTAAAAAACAAAAAGCTTTGTACTACAGTAAAGTGGAAAGAAATTGATATTCACTTCCTGATGTCATGTAATTAATCTTCCTGGCAAAAGCTCTGTAAAACAAAACAGTACAGGGAGACAAAAAAAGCCTTATCACGTTTTCTCAGTGTCTGGAAGTAAAAACAGTGTTGACCAACAGAAAAGGCAAAAAGCCTTATTTTACACTTGAATTTACAAGGGCTAAAGTAGAAAATAGAAAATATTAAGTTAAAAACTATGAGTTTGAATGACAAAGCAAAATTTCATTTTTTAAAAAAGAAAACCCAAAATACACCTCTTGTTTGTAAATCTATATATTCATATTCTTGAAAAGCTTCCAAAGTCACTGCAATGTTTAAAGAGAAGCAGGTTTCTACCTGTGAACTCAGCTGAGTTTTAATCCAGTTGAAATAGTAATTCAAGTCACTGCCTTCCATAAGTTCTCTCCCCCAGGCAGCCAGTTTGGCAATAATTCTTGCTGCCTGAAAAAGAATGCAATAAACAGATTTTTCAAACACTCTAATTTCAAGATTCAGTGAGAAGTCCTATACACTCTGGAAACCAACTTTGAGTAAAAGATGGCCCTTTACAGAAATCTACCTCATACCTAGTAATTTTGTTTCTTCAGTTTTCTGATGCTTTGACCTCCTAGTGACTCATGTATTTTCACCTCCAGGTGCTTTTCCACCAGCAGCTTTCCAGACACTCTTCACCCAGCCTGTAGCATTGCCTGTGGTGGTTGTAACCCAAGTGCAAGATCCAGTACTTGGCCTTGTCGAACCTCACGTAATTGCTATGGTTCATCGATCCAGCCAGTCCAGAACCTCTGCAGAGCCTTCCTACCCTCTGGCAGATCACCACTTCCACCCAGCTTCATGTCATCTGCAAGCTTACTGACAGAGCACTCGATCCCCTTGCCCAGATCATCGATAAAGATACTGAAAAGAAATGGCCTCAATATCAAGCCCTGGGGAACACAACTTGTGACTTCAAGCCATAATACAAGTTTTACTGGTGGAAACTATGGTTTCCATTAGAATTTGCAGTAATACAAAAGCATATTTTTCCTCCACAAGGGGGGGAAAAAAAAAAAACACAACAAAAGCCAGGTGAAATGGCCAGTTCTCACCACAGATGACTCCATATACATCAGCAGCACCCAGCGTCTCAAAGTACAGCAGATACCGTACAAAGCATATGGTTGTACTGGGTTTGGCTGGGGTGGACTTAATTTTTTCATAGCAGTCCATATGATGCTGTGGTTTAGACCGGTGACCAAAACAGCACTGATAGCACACCAGTGTTTCAGCTCTCACTGAGCGGTGCTTGCACAACCTAAATGGCTTCTCTGTTTCTCGCTCTACACTTCCAGTGAGTAGACTGGGTGGGGGACCAAAAGCAGACACAGCCAGGAGACGTGGCCGAAGAGATATAGCGGTATCCTCCTCCTTTTTTTCCTCCTTCATTTATTAAACTGTCTTTATCTTGACTCACAAGTTTTCGTGCTTCTGCCTTCCCAATTCTCTCCCCAATCCTGCCATGGAGGGCAGTGCAAGCAACTGGGTGAGGGCTTTCCTGTCAGCCAGGGTCAACCCACCGCAAACAGCAGACATTATATCTTCCCTAGAATGCTTACAAGCCATTTTAAGCAGGTTTCAAGCAGCACTGTAGTAATTTCAGCATATGAGAGAATGAGGATCATCACAGTAAAGATATTTCCCTTTCACAGTATTGAAAGCTTAAACTCTAATAATTGTACAGCATGAGAAACATTGATTAGCAGTTGTGACAAAAGTTATTTTTCTAGTTATGTCTTAATTAATTCGGAAATCCTTGCTTTCCTGAGCCTTTAAAAACTGTTCTAATCTCCCAGAAAAAAAAAATGTCCATAAACAATGTAACTTTTCTTTCCAAAATGTCCTCAAGTGAAGCTTGTATTAAGAATGACTCATCTAGATTGCAAGAGGAACTTTCCAGTCCAGGCAGCTCAGCTTCAAACTCCAAAATCTGCTAAAGAAAAATAAAACTTTCCAGTCCAGGCAGCAGTTTAGCTTCAAACTCCACAAATGCACTAAAGAAAAATAAAACTAGCATTTTTCTCAACTATATTCAGAGATAGGTTCTTCTAACTTACCATATGCACAGTGAAAAGATCTTGTCGATTCAACATCGGCAGAAAATAGGACCATGCAGTGTTTTTACCACGTTTTGCGTAATCAAAGAAGATACAAACACGCTGATGATTTTCCTGTAAAAATTGGGAGAGGAGAAGAGACTCGTAAAACATTCAACATAATGCAGTTATTTCCTCCTCATTATGTTGGCAAACATTTTCAGAGTGTACCCTGGCTTGTAACATCCCATGAATTTTTTTCCATTTTGACACTTCCTTGTGGATACAGTTCATTTCAGCACTCCCAAGATTAGAGATCCGGGGGGGGAAAACTTTGAAATCCTAGTTATACTTCAGTACTCCAGCATCTACTTGAATAAAAACAGATGTATCCTTCTGATGAAGCAAGCAGAAGGAAAGAAATGAGAGACAAGCTAAATACTGTAATCTTCCAGAAGACGACTACTCTACATCCAATGAATTATGCTCGAATGAAGTCCATACAAAGTTTTCCACGTATTGCTACTTCCACACAAAAGCCCGTTGTTCAACTTGGCTGCATATGCTACAAGTGAAACTGCAGAGACATTGGCTCCACTCCTCTCAGTGGGAAGGGGGTCTTCTCTCTCAGATGAGGCTGCAACTGACTCAGCCATTATCTTAGACAATGTGCACACCTAGGAGACGACATAACCACCAGGAGTCTGTTCTCCAGGGCTTCTAGGCTGCACCACAAGGGATCACAAGTACCTGAATCTGGCCACTGTGCACAGTTTCTTCAAGCATTTCACCTAATAACCACTGCAAAAAGCAGCTACTGTGATTCGCCTTAAAGCAGAGCAGAGAAGAGGCCATGCAAATCTGACAGAGAAAGAGGAGCTCCATTATTTCCCAATAGCCTAGAATATAGACAGTCTTCCAGAAAAAAATCAGATATGTGGATTCTGGCTTTTCATCAACACTTCCACATACTCTCTAGCCTCCTGGATAGTAAGCATTCATTCTAAAGAGATGTCTCCCCACTGAAATCAAGCTACTTCAATCAGGTGTACATCTTCGATCAAGGATGGCAAAACTGTTTGAAATGCTGCAGTCAGGAAATCCACATGAGAACAGTGGCTCAATCTTCACTACCTAATGAATCTAATTTTCAAACTCCTGCAGCTGAAGTGCTGACCTCCATCAGTTAGGCACCTTATCACAAACTCTATGGGCCAAGCACCAACTAAGCAAGCCTGCTTGTTGGAATACAATCCATTAAGCACAAAATGATCTGAAGGTATCCCTGATCCAAACACTGGCATCTTACTAAGGATCAGAGTTGCAACCAACCCTTCCTGGAAAATGTGAAAGTCACTGCACCACATGGGCTGCAAACTGCCGTCCTGATCACTGAGTGGGGAAGTTCAGGTGTCACTATTTATCTAACAGTCATAATCCTTACAGTGATTAATGCTCTATACATCATGTGTCAAAAAGCACTCAAAAAAGTCTCCCAAAATTTGCTGTTCAAACGATGAAACAAATTTTAAAAAGTAAGATGGTAGGAACACAGTGCCTTGGTGGAGAGCATCCACTCTGTGAGGGCTAGCTTGATGAAAAATGGCAGTTCAATCCAATAAATCACTCTTTGCATCTATGCTGGTGATACACAGAGCGTAGCTACAAAGATCAAAAATCAGCTAGATCAACGAGTTCAGTTTACAACACAGATAAGGGTGAGACAGACGGGTCTAGAAGCAGATAAACTGAACTAACTTCAACATGCTGTCATTCAGAAGACTAGTCTGGTTTCCTGTTAAGGTGTGCGGTAACGACGGGAGGGAAGGAGCAGATTGCTGCCTAAGGCCCCGAAACACGTAGTGCTGCACCTTCCAAGGCAGCTACTGACTACACTGACAAAAAGTCTTAAACGCTCACATGAAGAGTTGAATAATTTAGCATCTGTCATTTCTGAAGAAGCATAATGAAGCTCACTTGGGTGGTACTGCTACCAACTATGGTGTAGGTTCTGAAAGATTTCATAAGAAACAGACTGTGCAGTGTGACAAGGTCACTAATCCAGAAAAATTGTTCCAAGTATTCATGACATGAATAGAATAAGAAACGTTTCCTCAGGGACTCCAGTACGTTAACACTCTCCATCTTCATAAATAAGCAGAATAACATTCTTGTAAGAAAATCACCAAATTAATACCACTTCTGTCAGATTCCAAAAGAAATCTTTCTCAGAATGATGAACAAATATGTAAGCAGAACTGCTGGAACAATCCTAGACACCCAGTTAGGCTTTTGGTATGCTCAAAACACATTTGATACGATTTTTACAACAGCACATAAAAAGCTTAGAAAGACAGCAGAACCACCACAGTCGTCATCAGCACAGACAAAATCTGCATATTGTTACCTATAATAGTTTCTAGAAGTTTCATCTATCAGAAGCAGTATTCAAAAATTATTTGTTCATCTCACGAAAATTGCACAAAACAAGTTTACTGAAAGAGTCAATGGCATCATGACAGGCTATGTCTTTGAAAAATTTCCTGCTTTAAAAAAAAAAAAAAATCTTTGCATGTACTGAATGAAGACTACTTGGGCAAACATAGGAGACTTCATATCCACTAATGAGGATTCTTCTATACTTGCAGTCTGCAAAGATCCTGCACTAAACTCAGAGCCACAGAGTCAATGGCCCATATGCTGCTTTCTGACAAGAACTTTGAAAATGAGCAACCATGGGTCGATACGGCATCACTGCCAACATGTTCTGCCATCTGAACGTGACCACAAGTTCTGTTTCGGCCTCGTCTAGTGGAGATACGGAGGATTAGGAAGTCCCTGAAAGATATCATGCAGATGCCTGTACAGGCCCTCTACACCAGCAGCAAGATATCCCTGAAAAACATAATCACAGAAACCACTGGAAAAGCCAGTGCAGCCTTTTAGACACTAAAGCAAAATTTCTCAAGTGAAAAAGGCATCTAATTTCAAACAGAAGCAAATATAGAAATGTCAGTGCACAGTATATTCTCCTGTATCACTATAAAGCCTGGACAATTTAAAGTCATTATGTTTCACATTAATAATTTCACATGTGCCCCTTCTGTGGCAAGGCCCTGTGGTAAGCCCCTGAATACAGGAATGTCAGTGCATGACCATGAAGTCAAGAAAATACGTTCATCTTCATCTAGATACATGACAGAATTAACCCGGCAAATAAGAGGTTACTTAAAACTACTTTCTGTGACCACCTAGAACTAATGCAATTGTCCTGGGAGCGGGCCAATAAAAGCCTTTACCTGTGGGGTATTAATTCCAGAGCAAGGGAGATGATATCGGCTATTGGATATTGTGGCTATAGGCTATGTCAAAGCATTTGTACTAATGTCAAAGCACACAAGCAAAACCAGACCAGCAAGCACTCACAAGAAGTTCCAATGAAGGGCAAGTGAAATGATTGCTTCTGTGGCCACAGACACGTCTCTCACAGAAAATGAGACCCATTCCACACAAAAGTAGTCACAATAAACACAAAGTTCTCACATGCTAACACAAAGTTTGTCATCAAATGCATAAACCAAAGCAAAGCACTCCTAACTCAGTGTCCTAATCAGAAATAACACCGAGGCTCCCTTTTTTGTTCTCTGCTTCTTGAAGTTTGTGTCACGTCTGAGAAAACGTAAATCTAAAGAAAAGAGGAAGAGGGTTAGAGTGACAAAGCCACAGATGGGGATGAATAAACTGCCACCACAACCACTAGCTAATATTCCAGCAGCCAGGGCACATACTTGGAGCTTTTATGTTCAGATGGGCACCTCAAAGAACACCATAATTCCCACATTATACATACTGTAGAAAGGTTCACGCTTTTCAGATTGCCTGTTGACTATACTGACCACTCAGAGCTGGAATTAGAACTCACAGGGTTTACCTCCTCAGGCAATGCCCTAAACTGTTATCACTAGACACATTTCACTGTAATCCTGTATTAAAACATAACATAAAACAGCAAAGAGAAACTGTCAGATAGCCAGATATTCTATATGAATGCCAGGAGAAAACCTTGTACAACTCAACCCATCTTGTTACAATATCACTCCAACCACTTTCTCTTAGTCTATTAGAGAGCAAAACAATGCAAAGCTATGATTTTCTGATTAAGTTTCCTTTTGACTTGTCCCAATCAGCACAGTCATCCTCGCACCAAATTTAATAGCCTACTCTTAAAAGTCACTGTATCCCATAGCTACAAAAAGTTATATATTTCATTGAATCAAAAGTTCCTGATTTATAATTCAACCATACAGAATTTCAGCATATGTTGTCATAAACAGTCTAACTTAAGCTGGAAACCTGAAGCTGTACAAACTACACCTTCTTGCTGAGGGTGGCCAAATTAACACCTTTGCAAGAAAAGTTTCAACAACTTGAAAGTTAGAAGTCACATCCTATCTATACAACAGGAAAGGGCTGTGGTCACATATAATCCCTTAACATCCAAGTTCTTCATCAAACATTGAGACCCCACATAAAAACATACAGGTCTCTTTTATTTCCAGAATATACAAGACCAAGTTACCCATACAACTTTAAGTCTAACATTCAATTTCTGAAGGCAAAACTGAAAATTTAAAAGAATATTTTAATACTGTATGACAAAAACCTGGAAAGATCTGAATTAGGCTAAGAAAACATTCAGGTATGCATTTAAAGACTTAAAGAGGTTATTGACCTACTTGCAGCATATCATCAACCATAGTCAGAATGTACTGAACCGTCTGTTCCTTGGAGATATGAGTCATCAAGTTTATAAATGTTTTAGCACACTAGAAAAATAAGAGAGACATTAAAAAGAATATTAGCAATTGTCTTCATTCCTTTTGATAATATAAAACTGGACCCCATTAATTCACAGCTAAGTCTTACATAAGCATTGAGCATTCAAACATCTTTTTCAACTTCAGTAAGATGAATACATTTGACATTATATTATAAAGAAAATTTTCTGTCACATTGATCATTGCCCTTTACAAACTGTCTTATGGCTTTCAGATGAATTAACAAGTACTTGCTAGTAAAAGTCATCAAAGTGCTTTGTTGAAAGACTGATTAGAAAAATCTCCATCAGTGTCCTTTTATATGGCAGTGAGAAGAATCAAGTAAAACGATAAATCAGCAAACTCAGACACGGTATGAGAGTTTCAGCAACTTGAATGGGAGGGAAAACAGGTAATTTTTACCTGTTTGCTTCCCATATCTTGTAGAAAAAAACCTTTGTTCATATTTGAGCTGTTTTCTGCCTCCTGAAAAACTCTACAATTTCACCAACAGATATAATAGGCTGAACCTGTCACAGCACTACTTTTTACACTTCTTCCTTCCCCTTCACCACATTCAACTAAAACTGAAATAAAAATGGAACTCTAAACTGGTACACTGTAATTATATAGTGCTCTACAGTGTTCACTAAATATGCTTTTGTCACTATGCAAATCATGGTCCATTACATTGCAGTCACACAACACAATTTGGGGAAGAAACAAACATCACCCCTTGGGGGGGAAAAAAAGAAAGAAACCACCGCACACCAAAACCACAGAATAGCCTTAAAGTAGATAAAAGAGTTGGAAAGTTGTGTGTGGAGCGTATTTCCTAATCTCCACCTTCTCTCCTGCCTCCTTCAATCCTCTTGACATCTGACACGGTCTGCTATAACCTCAGGCTTGGAGACCAAGTTCCACTGCTTCAAGTACCACTAAATCGTCTTCAGGCATCGTGCTGGGACTCCATAAGCCAAGTAGCACCAGTTATGTATCAACCTTTTATGAGCTCTGTCCAGCGCAGATGTCTCGCATCTTATCACACTTAAAATGACACTAGACACCTGTTTTTAACTGAATCCATCTTAGCAGCCACTGGACTCTACTGCTGGAACTACATTATAATTATTCAGCTAATCAGAAGTCTCACTGGTAGTAGGTCTTATCAATAAGCTATAGGGAAAACAGCTCAAAAAAGTACAAGTGTGCATGATTAAGCAAACTGAGATGAGGAAAGACTTGAGGTAGTTTGTTCCACAACAGAGGCAGTCAGATGACATTTAATAATTATTTAATACGTTTTAAAAACAATGTCCAACCTACATTCAGGGGCGGGGGGAAAGGATAAGATGTTATTGGAGACATATAAAACTTCCTCTTAACTGTTTAAAGCCAACAATAAAACAGAGTTGGTACAAAAATTTCCTTCCATCGTCCTCTCAGAAAGACAGATTATTAAAAGAAATGAAAGTTACTTGATTGCCTTCTGTCTGCAACAACTCCTGTTTTTCTTCTGGATTTCTCTTCTGTTCAAATCTTTGAATAAATTCACAATCTTCACCTGAAATCATCTGCCCTCTGAAAAGCAAAATATGAAACCATAAGTCACATTAACAGTAAATTATTTCAAACTGCACTGGGTTTATATGGCAAGGTTTTGGCAGCAGGGTGGCTTCAGGGGTGGCTTCTACAAGAAGAAACCCACACGTCAGACAGAGTCAGTTCCACCCAGCTCCAGGACAGACCAGATACTGGCCAAAGCTGAGCCACTCGGTGAGGATGGCAGCACCCTTTGATAACATTTAAGGAGGAGTAAAAACTGCTGCACAATTGCAGCCCGAGACAGAAGTGACAGCATGCAAGAGAAACAACTCTGTAGACACCAAGGTCAGTGAAAAGTGAGGGGGAGGAGGTGCTTCAGGCACTGGAGCAGATTCCCCTGCAGCCCTTGGTAAAGACCCCAAGTTGGAGCCTGTAGTTATGCCCTAAAGGAAGCTGCAGTCCCAGCCAGCAACTAAACACCAAGTAGCTGTTGCTCATTCTTCCTCACTCCCAGTGGGATGGGGAGAATTGGGGGGGGAATAAAACTCAAGCTAAGAAAAATTGAATAACTAAATTAAATATGGTTTAATTAAAGAGAGAAATAAAACCCAGGAAAAGACAAGTGATGCATAATGCAATTGCTTACAACCTACTGACCGATGTCCAAGCAACAATCCAACCCCTTCCAGCCAACTCCCCCCTGCTTATACACTGAACATGAGGTTCTATGGTGTGGAATATCCCTTTGGCTGGTTCGAGTCAGCAGGCCCAGCCATGCTCCCTCCCAGCTTCTTGTGCACCTGCATGCTGGCAAAACACGGGAATTTGAAAAGTCCTTGATTTCCTAGCAACAACTGAAAACATCAGTATGTTCTTCCCATACTGAATTAAAAAAAACATCATTTTAGCTCCTAAGACAACAAAACAGCTCAGTCTCAGCTGAAACCAGGATATTATGTCTTGAGGATTATCTTGTCACAGAGACATCTTTTACCTACTGGCTTTTCAAACACACAATACGAGTAGTCCAGTACCATGTGCCCTCTTCCTGTATTCTAGCTGCTTCATAAGGAAAAAACCCCACACATATGCACTGAAGAAAGGTAATTAAGTCTACTAGACAGAAGATTCATAAAGCCAGTGGTAGTTATCAACTAGTTTCTACTAAAATTTAACTAATTATAGATGAAAATGTAATTAGCTAATGATGACAATGCTGCTACCACGTGCTTTTTAGATGGACTTGTGTTTTTGCCTATTCAGGATGTATTTCAGTAGTTCTTGAAAGATTAGGACAATTATTCACCACAAACAGTGGACTTAAGGACCATAATTAGAAACCTTTCATGATTCAATCAATGCTGGCCAAGCCAGGGACTCCTAGATGATACTGACATACAGTAACCAAATGAGCTGCTTGTTTATAAGAGTATTGACATTTAGGAAGCACTTCAAAGACAAGGGGAGCTCTTAATTTACAGCTTTAATGCCTGAAAAAGCCTCAGAAACAGAAAGAGAGATGCTTCTTTACAGCCAGGCTTTTAGAAGAGGTTTGCACACTTTTAAGGAAGATGGCTTTCAAGCTTTTGCTTTAATCCTACATTAGACCACAAGGAGAAAAAAAAAAAAAAAGAATAAGGGATATTGATGTTGCCTTGAGAGGAAAAGTTAGGGTTTACTCTTTATCGCTTTGTAAGTGCCATTCAAAAAGCCACTTGCCAACTCACAGGAAACAGTACAAAGGATTCGACAGCTTTGTAAACAAGCTCTTAATATTTTATCAGGGATCTCATACAGTAATTTCAAATGCATCCATTTCCATTCACCTCGTTTTAAAACCAAAACAACTGATTATGTAGTAAACCTTAGCAACCCGTGGGGGAAAAAAAAAACCACCACCATGAAAACCACAGAGCAGCCTCAGATAGCTCGTACCAGCTACCATGATGCTATTACCACATTTTCCTCATCCTCTCTTCAGAGACAGGAATTTCCCAGCACCTTTACACAAACAGTAGAAGTAATAAAAGCCTGAGACACTAAGGCCTGTCTTTGAGAGCACTAGCTACAGCAGATTACGCTGAAGCTATGTAAGACTTAGCAAGCACGAATTTGTACGATCAACATCTTTAAAACCTCTTGGTCTCTCAAGATGATTCAGAAACCTGTGATTCCTTATTTTTATTATACGTTTCCTCTAGCAGCTCTTGTTCCCTCTTCTTCTTGAATGATTTAACAACAGTCATTCTGGAAGTCCAAAATATTTAACCCATTTCAGAATGTTCCCCCACCTCCAGGAAAGTAAAGTGGATATTTTAACATCAGAATTCACAAACGTATATGTAAAGTACTCAAAGACACATCAGAAGCCAAGTACAAATTGGCCATCAGGTATCTAACCTGACTAAATATGAAATGTTGTCAAAAGCTGTATAACTAGAAAACCTACACTTCAACAAGATGCAAGTTAAAACTCTGAAACGAGTTCGCTTTTCCACAGAACTCATTTACTACCCTTGAAAAGTAAAACCAGACTTGCTTAGAGCAAGCTAACACACCCTCCAAAGGCATCCTTACACCCCGAAGCAAATGCTGAAAGCAACCACACCATACACAACAGAGACCACTGTATTTTCAACTACCAGAGGGCATCGACACCCCTAAGCTGCTACAAGTCTCAAGATCCAAAGGCAGGAAAGTCTGTACAGAACCACATTCAGTTCCCAGAACTCAGGCAGACCTACACATCGCCTTCCAGCATCTATTCCAAGTCTTGCTACTTTCTTCTCCCTCAGCCACAGACCCTATCTGGAATTCTAAACAAAGAGTGTACATTTTAGCATTTAAAAAAAAAATATATATATTTCTACAGCCTAATTTTGAAGTGAACAGCCAGAGTGACAAACTGGTAATATGTACAAGTTGCCATACCCAATTGGTTCACTTTTGTGCCAACAATATACACAGCAAATATCAAAAGTCATCAGTTGTGCATTAGTGTAGTTTGACATTGAGTTTACAGTTACAACCTTCAGAGATGGAATAAACAATATACCAGTTAATCTTTAGCTTGCACTGACTCTACAAGAGAAGTCAGGCTACTAGAGTCTGATCATTTTAAGCCATTTTACTTTTGCATTAAAGAATAGAAAGAGCAGAAAAGAACATCAGAATGCCTTCCTGTGTGACCCAGACTCCAATGCTGTTGTGACTGATGTAATCTTTAAAGCATCTTTATACATACACAACTATCACAGCAATTTTTTTTAAAAAAAGAAGAAATAAAAATACTTCATCAGAATTTCTTGTGAAGTTCTTTGACTCCCAGCAACATAAATACTACCCATAGTTTAAGGAACACAAATTATATCACGCCTGAGTTGATATGTTAACTTTGGGGAAAAAAAAAACATAAAAATGTTTCCTCAAATGTAAAAATGCCTGAAGACTTGAAGTACACCTCCATATATTTATATGCAAGCTTACCACGTTAAATGCACAGACTGCCAGAATAGGACCCAAAAAGAAAGCAAGAGAAGCGTCCTTCAAAATCAGCAGCATCCCATCTTCCTTCCAATCTATAGACCAGAACAAACCACTCCGAGCTGTTGCTAACAGGTGCATTAGAAGCAAGCTGCTTCCTCTTATTTATTAACGTGCTTCATTCCAGAAACGAATCAATATAGCTGCAGTGATTTTTCAACAAAACTTCAAAGACACTATCACACCCAAACCTACCTGTTGTAAAAAAGACACGTCCAAAACCAGCTACAATTTTATTTCCTCTTTAGAAGCACTGAGAGTTCTGCTGATGTTTTCCAATAATTAATGATAAGGAAACTCCTCAGCCAAGGAACTACAACTATCTTCATGATGCTCCATAATCCCTCTGGCACCATTTAAGTTCATCCTTGAAGCGATCTTAGCCTGACAGCCAGGCTGTTATCAGTAAATACAAGACACAAAGACTACATTTATTTCAGAGCAATAATAAACAGGACACACTGTCATTGACATACAGAAGGCACCAAGCATTGATCCGCCTCGCAAGAAGATCACAGACACTAGCCAGATGCACTACAGTAGCATACAAAACCTGGGTAACCCATCAAAGAGTCAAATTCTACATCTAGAATCTGAAAATGAACCATCAGCCCTGCCTCCTGGTCAAAAGAAGTTACACATTGGAGCAGTCACTTCCTGAAGGACTGCACCTTGTGGAAGGGATCAAGACTGGAGCAGTTCATGAAGAACTGTAACCCATCAGAAGGACCACAGTGGAGAGGTTCATGGACAGTCTCCCACGGGAAGGACTCCACACTGGAGTAGGGGAAGAGTGTGAGGAATCTCCACCCCGAGGAGGAAGGAGCAACAGAGACAATGTGTGATGAACTGACTTAAACCATCATTCCCCATCCTCCTGTGTCACTGAGGGGAAGGAGGTAGGGAGACTAGGAGTAAAGTTAAGCGTGGGAAGAAGGAAGTGGTTGGGGGAGGTGTTTTAAGGTTTGGTTTCATTTCTCATTACCCTTCTCTGATTTGACTGGTAATAAATTAAGCCAATTTCCCTAAGCAGAGTTTGTTTTGCCTGTGATGGTAATTGGTAAGCGATCTCCTTCGTCCGTATCTTGTCCCACTAGCCTTTCATTGTATTTTCTCTCCGCTTTCCAGCTGAGGAGGCGAGCGACAGAGCAGCTTTGGTGGGCACCTGCCACCCAGCCAGGGCCAATCCATAATACCTTCCAAAGCAAACTCTGAGCTTACCTGAAATAGTAAGACAGCTCTCCCCACACTGAAGTATTTGTTTCAGTCTCCTCCATGATCTACCTGTTTCTGTTGCTCTCCAGAACACTCTTCCTTTAGTGGAGTTACAACTTATTTTCCTGGACTATCAGCCCAGCTTTGCTAATACAATTTGTAATCACACATAAGGCACTTGAGCAACAGAGACAACATACCTACACACAAAACAACTCTTACTGAAAACTTTTCTAATGTCAGCACTCATCCAACAAGGATAAAATTAAGAATGGTGTTGGAATAAAGAGGAAAAAAAATTTACGGTTTTACCACACAATTGTGCAAACGTACATCGTTATTACAGCATTCAGAATGGAGTTCCCTTCTTGTAATAAGTCATGAGAAAATTTTCCCCAGCCATTTCCATTTAATGTAGACATTTTCCAACTATTTTTGTGGGACCAAGAAGGAATTTTCCTCACTGTAACCCAATGTTCCATTGTAACCCAAAGTCCCCAAATGTGCAACACTTAAGGAACGAAAAGAAAGGAAAAAAAAAAAAAAGTGGAAAGTTTTTACTTACTGGAGATATGACTGCCAGTTTACTTTGTTTGCCCGAACTTCAGCAGCTTTGGCAGCAATGATGTTTGTTGGGACAGCAGCATCTACAGCACCTCGGATATCCATCTTGTCTGGTAATTAAAACGTACCTAAAAATACAAGTCAGATATTTTGTCTAAGAGTATTCAGACATTAGAAACACATGAATTACAACTTCAGAGAAGAAATACAAGTTATATAAATAAAAAACCATGCTATGTGGACTAAGAAGAAAACTCAGATTATTGCTATACAGAAAGCAAACTGCAAAAAATAAATGTGAACATACGTTCCTTATCAGGACATAATATGTTACTATAGCCAGTGACCTTCGCCATTTCTCCTTTCTCCTTCCTTCATGGTTTCATCTCCACCTGACTTTGATGCCAAAACAGTAAGTGTGTTTGCAGAGGCTTGAGATCCAGACAAAGCAGGATTTCCTTGCAACCTAAACCACATTGAACCTCTCCACGTAGCCCATTTCTGGACTTTTTTGGCTCCCTTTACATAAGCAAGCAGGAACAAACTGGCACATTCCTAACGAATAGACCTTACTTGTATGACTGAACAAAAATACGATTCTAAGAAAGGGGAAGAGAGGGGAAGTAGCTACCCGGAACAAATGGCGCACACAACTATCTTCCCTTTGAACCTACTTCTGTGAGCAGACACCCACAAAGACAGCACCACTGACTATGTCCTTCAACGAGCACCGGGCCCTCCCCAGCTCTGATGTGACCCAAACAGGCCCCTTTGAACGCTCCTGGAGCCGCAGGGGCGGGCAGGGCGGCTCAGAGCGGTTTCGGGAGCCCAAGTGGCCGAGAGGACCTAGGCAGGGGACAGGGGAGGGGGGCGCGAC